TAAAAATATCGTAGTGAAGGTTAATTGCCATGGAGCGTCTACTAAAGAGTGCAATAATTGAAAAATCACGGAAGGACACGAGCCTCCTCATTGTTTGGCTGAATCTTGAGGCAATTGTTGAACGCTGCAATGGCCTTGGAGTCATGCTCATTTTCAGCATGTGATAGACCGAGTCGGCACCATGCCTAAAAATATTTTGATGCCCTCTTTTCAATATCAATCGGCATTTTAAAAGGCAATAGCCTCAATCGTGACTATTGGTAAGCGCTAAAATGCTTGGTGCACTATGGGTACGGTCAGGATGAGGCAGTTCAGAGTACGCGGCAAATTGCAAGCGGCGTTGCGCGTGAGCGGCATTTGCACCAGAACTTTCAGTATTGGACGCTGTTGCGTTTCACAGGAGCTGGGTTTGTCCCGTTGTCTACCAATTAAGAAAGCTGGCAGGCGACCATGATAGGCCGAGGAAAGCCAGACATAGGGGAAAACTGCCTGGCGCAGCGCTAAACCCAGCCCCCTGCCACGCCCCAGCGGACAAGACTGCAATCATTTCGACGAGGAAGTGCTACAGCTAGCAGAGTCGACTGTCTATGAAATGCTGCGTTTGCCGAGCAAATCAGTGCGCGCCGTAATTCGGCTCTTCTACACCATACAGATGTTTGCTAATACTGCGATGACTAGGGGCTCCAGCTGCGACTACTTCGTTATACTTGCCACTTCTAGAGTGCTACGACAGAAAAGGACCCAGTCTGTCATCCTCCTTGACCGACAGGCGCGTTTCTGGTTTCAGAAGGAGAAGAAGAAGATAAAAGTACAGTTGGAATCGTCCCCACCAGTCCAGGCGGTATTAAGAGGAACGTCATGAGTCAACCCGCGGCTACTACTACTGGTTGTTTTGTTCTTGAATCGATCATTAACCGATCACTATCGGTAGGAAAGGCAGCCAAGATGGACTCATTTCACTCCTCCTGATACCGCCCCTCCGAATGAAACGATATTAGCTATGGACTGTG